ATATATAGTAAGAGTTCGTCCGCAAAGAGGCCTAATTTATATTCTTTACCAGATGTCATCAAACCTTGAATTGAGGGGTTATTTCTTAGAGCTACGGCAAGGTGTTCCATAGCTAGTATGTAGAGGTAGGATGATAAAGGGCATCCTTGACGTGTACCATTTAGGATTTGTATAGAGGACAGAAAATATGCCATTTACTTTAACACGTGCTGTTGGGCAATCATATAGAGCCATGATCTTGGTTAAAAATAGAGATGGGATGCTTATTTGTTACAATGTCTTGAATAGGAAAAGCTTTTTCAGCGCCGACAGATAATAGGCACAAGGGGATGTTCTGACTCTTGGCCCAGGACATAAGTATCTGAGTCTTGATCGTGTTGTCTCTGGCCTCTCTATGCGGGACAAAGCCCACTTGGTCAAGGTGGATTAAGGAGGAAATACATGTTTTTAGGTGGTTGGCTAACAGCTTGGGGAACATTTTTATATCAACATTAACGAGAGATGGGTCTATAACTAGAGCAATTTGATGGGTCTTTTTGTTCCTTAGGAATTACAGTCATGTGGGCTTCTTTAGCCTAGGGTTCAGAGGGGGGATATGGTGTTAAGCCTCTATTATTATTGGTACTAAAAAGTCGCATAGTTCGGAGTAAAAGTATGATGTGTATCCATCAGGGCCATGGCTTTTACCTGTAGGTAAGGAAGTAATGATATTATTAAGTTCAGAGTGATTGAAGGGAGTGGAAATGGAGGAGATCGCTGAGTCTGACAATCTACTGAAACTGGTAGATTGTATGAAAGAGTGAATGTCTTTAAGAAGGTCATTGGTGGAGGAGGAGGTAGATGTAGGAATGTTATATAGAGTAGAGTAGTAGCTATGGAAGGCCTGAGCTATTTGTTCTGAGGTGTGAACCCAACCCTCCACAGAGCATGCAATTTTTGGTATATACAGTAAATGCCAAATTGCTTATGTCTAATAGATCAAGCCATACATTTGCTGCATTTAATAGCCAAACTCATGAAAAGTCCGAAGAGCAGCATCACGATAACAGGTATGAGAAATATTTATTTTCCGCAATTTGGATTTCTAATAGAGCGGTTGATAAGGAATCATTTGGTATAGATTTGTGAGACTTCTCCAAGTCTCGAATGTCAGCCAGGAGGGAGGAGACGTGCTGAGATTTAGATTTTTTAATTTGTCCTTCGTGCTTGATCAGGACACCTCGAAGCACACATTTTAGTGCTCCCCATTGAATAGGGAGAGAGGTAGAATCGTGAGTATGTGTTAGCTGAAAGGTTTGTATAGTTTGTTAAAGATCTGAAATCACCAGAGGGTCACAACTCTTTTAATCTCCAAGTAGGTAGTCGGGTAGAGGTGTCCGGTATTGTTAGAGAGCA